TTTATGCTGTTCCAGGTCCCTGCAGGCCCCCAGCCAGGGGCTGGGAGGGCCCAGAGGGCCCCAAGGGGCTCAGAGCCCCCCTACCTCGTGGCTCACAACATGGCCACCACTCCAACAACAACCAAAACTACAACTCATCTCTTCCGGTCTGGTTGTGATATGTTTACATTTCTGCAGGAGCACCCATTGGACAGAACTTCAAAACTTCCAGGGGTTTCCACTCCTTGGGGTCTACCACTTTTCTCAGCCTCTGGGGAAAAACAAGGTTCAAACCACGACAACCTTGTTCACCCCTTCCTGTGATTGGGTGTTCCTGTAAGCCCCTTGAGACTTCTAATGGGTTAACCTGTGATTCTCCCTAACCCTAAAAATGTAACAACCCCCAACAATAGACTCCCTCTTGCCTCCTCTCCACACCGGTGTGCTGTCTCTGTACCAGCCATGGGACCACGTGGGTGCTGGGGGGAGGGGAGGGCACCTCTCCCTTTCAGGCTCGGGGCCTGAAAAACCCCTGAAGAAACCCCTGGAGTTCCCTTTCCCCGTCCCTCCAGACGTCGGAATGGTTCTTCAGATGGAGGTGGAACTGGAACGTTGTGGGTGGGGTAAGGGATCTAGAAATGACTGGAGCAATGGCAATGTAGGATGGTTGCCATGGTAACTGATCATCTCAATGGGAGTGTATGATGGTTGCCATGGTAACCAACCCCAGCAATCTCTCCTACTTGCAGGGGCCGGGACCAGTTTATCACTGGGTGGCTGCCACCAAAACTGTGTATTTTACACCCTCTGGGTCATTTCTGAGGAACTCCTAAGAATGGATCCTTTGCAGCAGCTGCCCAGGGCCCACCTGCCACCTCAGCCTACAAGCTGGCCATGAAAGAACTGTGCAAGGAGTGTTCCTTTGCCTTCACACCCAGGACTCTGCTGTCAGAACTCCCCTCCGGGGAGGCATTAGCACCTTCACCCCCAGCCTGAGGGGTCATCTCTGCCAATGGGCCGCCTTGGACTGGCAGAACAGGCAGCTGCAACACCCAGACCATCACACACTCCAGAAATACCCCGGGACTCACAGAGTTCAATCGCCCATTGTCAAACTCCCTGCCCTGGGGGAGGTGCTGCACATCCCCACCTGAACCTGAGCACATTTACTCTTGGGCTTTGGGCACTTCTGCTACCACTCGTGGCATGGAGAGGAGGAGCAGAACTCCAACAGGACTGGGACTGGAACTCTCCACAGGACTGCCATCATTACCTCAACACAGCTGCCACCATCATCTGCACCAACAGCGTTTCCTTTCCTTTTCCTTTGCACCCTGGGGCCCACGTGGTGCTCAGCACTGTTCTCTTCTTGTCCCAGGCTGCTGGCTTATACAGCTATTTGTGTGGGTTAGAACCAGTTTTCTCTGTACCATTGTATTTCTTGTCATCTTCTCAGGAAATTGTGAGTCTGACTTGTAATCCCTCGGGAGGGTTCATTTCTCCCTCCGGTTTACTTTTAACCCAGCACACGACGGGAGCGTAGGATGGTTGCCATGGTAACTGACCGTGGCAAGGGGGCTCAGTGCCGTTGCCCACGGCTTCCACTTCTGCAAATTGGCTTCACTCCCCTTCTGCTGCAGCAGCCTCAGCCACTCGTCGGGGGGGCCCCACACAGCAGCTTCCCCCCTCCGTGAGGTTCTGCAGCAGCCCAGAGTCCCTTTGGCCCCACAAGGTCCTGCAGTGTCCCCATGGCCCCTTGATTCCGGGAGGCTCCACAGTGTCCCAGGGTCTCCCTGCTTCCAGGAGTTTCCCCAGTGTCCCAGCTTTCCTTTGGTTCCATGAGACCCAGATGTGAAGCAGTGGCCCCTCGATTCCACGAGGCTTTGCAGTGTCCCGAGGGCTCCTTTCTGCCCTCAGGTTCTGCACAGTCTCAGGGTTCCTCTGCTTTCAGGAGGTTCCGCAGTGTCCCGATGGCCCCTCGATTCCAGGACCATCCCAAACGTCCCAGCCTTCCTTTGCTTCTAGGAAGCCCTGCATGTCCAAATGGCCCCTTGATGCCATGAGTTTTCACAGGGTCCCCATTTGCCCTTGCTTCCATGAGGACCTGCACTGCCACAACGGTCCCTTGATTCCATGAGGTTCCAGTCTCCCAGGGCTTCTTCATCTCCGTGAGACTCCGCAGGGTCACAACGGTCCCTTGATTCTGTCAGATTCCACAGTGTCCCAGGATTCCTTTGCTTCCCTGGGCCCTGCACAGTCACAATGGACTGTTGATTCCATCAGGTTCCACGGTGTCAAAACGGCCCCTTGATTCTGGGAGGTTCCACAGCATCCCAAGATTCCTTTGGATCCACAAGGCCCAGCAGTGTCACAATGGCCCCTTGATTCCATGAGGTTCTTCAGTGGCACAATGGCCCTTTGTTTCTATGAGGTTCCACAGTGTCCAAGGATTCCTTTGGTTCCATGAAGCCCTGCAGTGTCACAATGGGTTGTTGATTCCGTGCAATCCTGCAGGGTCACAAAGGCCACTTGGTTCCACGAGTTTCCTCAGTGTCCCAGGCTTCCCTTGGTTCCATCAGGTCCTGCAGGGTCACAGGCACCCCTTGCTCCCATGTGGTTTCCCAGTGTCCCAGGTTTCATTTTATTCCAGGAGGCCCTGCAATGGCACAATGGCCACACAATTCCATGGGGTTCCCCAGTGTCCCAATGGTCCATTGATTCCATGAAGTTCCAAACTGTCCCAGGGTTCCTTTGGTTCCATGAGGTCCCCCGTGTCACACTGGTCACTTGATTCCAGGAGATTCTGCAGTCTCCCAGCTTTCCTTCAGATCCATGAGGCCCTCCAGCGTCACAATGGCCCTTTGATTCCAGGAAGTTCCACACTCTCCCAGAATTCCTCTGCTTCCATGAGCTTCGCAGGGTCTCAATAGGCCCTTGAGTCCATGAGGTTCCAAACTGTCCCAGGCTTCCTTTGGTTCCAGGAGACCCTGAAGTGTCACAACAGCTCATTGATTCCCTGACTTTCTCTGGTGTCACAATGGCCCCCTTGATTCCAACAAAGGCACCCTATCTAAATTTGTTCTTTGCAAACTGTCCTTGCTGTCACCTCCTGGCATGGCCAGGCATGGGCACTGACCACTCACCTGTTTGCACGTGACCAGTGAATCCGAACAATCGGCCCCAAAGACTGCTCAGAGACATTCTTTTATCTTTAAGCAGCAAGGTATTTGTTTATTCAACCTTGGGAGCAAGCCAGCTCGTGCTGGACAATGTTCCTCAACTTGAAAGTGCAAAACTAAGCAAATTTATACGCTTTAGATACAGGGTTACCTCATTTATTATACATATTAATAAGCAGGCTGGTCTCTGGGCAGAGTCTTTCCAGACATGCCCAGTCTTCTACTGTGGGGGGCTTCTCCTCAAGCCTTCATCCCTCTGGTGGTCGCCATGGACGTCTTCCTCAATTTGACCTCTTCAATCAGGTGACCTGAATTCTTCAAGCTTGCAAAATCCTGGCTCTGGGCCTTCTAGATCTTATTCAAACATCTGGGTTACCTAATTTATTACTGTGTGTGTACTACTCCTATTCTTTCTATAATAAGGCCTTTGGTCCAGTGACCAGAACAGAACATGAGATTAACCAGTGCTCCGAAAATGTTCTTCCAGCAAAACAGGTATTGGGTTTCTCAGCAGGCCAAGATATCTCAGTTAACTCTTCTAGGCCTGGCTCCTGTTTCAATCCTCCTTCTGGCCCTTCTTGTGGATGGGCATCACATGAGCACCTCCACTCATCGGGTCCTCCCTAGTGAGCCAGGACTGATGGTAAATGATGGAAGGTTTCTGCTGAGCTCTCCCTCCAGCTCCCTCAGCACCCTTGGATGAATCCCTTCTGGTCCCATAGACTTGGGAGTGTCTCAGTGGCTCAGCAGATCACCAGCTGCTTCCTCCTGGATTACAGAGGGTCCATTCTGCTCCCTGTCCTTGTCTACCAGCCCAGGGGGCTGGTTGTCCTGAGGATAACAGGCCTTTCTGTTAAAGACTGAGGCAAAGAAGGCATTAAATGCCTTGGCCTTTTCCTCATCCTTGGTGACAGTGTTCCCCCCGGTGTCCAATAAAGGATGGAGATTTTCCTGTGCCCTCCTTTTGTTGATGATGTATTATATAAACCCTTTTTATTACCCTTTACAGAAGTAGCCAGATTGAGTTCTAGCTGAGCTTTTACCTTTCTAATTTTCTCTCTACATGGCCTAACAACATCCTTGTACTCTTCCTGAGCTGCCTGCCCCTTCTTCCAAAGGTCATAAACCCTTTTTATTCCCCCAGTCCCAGAAAAGTTCCCTGCTCAGCCAGGCCAGTCGTCTTCCCTGCTGGCTCATCTTGCAGCACACATGGACAGGCTGCTCCTGGGCCTTCAAGATTTCCTTCTTAGAGTATGTCCAGCCTTCCTGGACCTCTTTGTTATTAAGGACTGTTTTGCAGGACACTGTCTCAACCATTTCAGTGTCCTGAACAGGCCAAAGTCCACCCTCCAGAAGTCTAAGGTAGAAGTTTATTGACCCCTTCCTTACCTTTTGATCCCTTAGAAGCTGGACCGGGATGGCCAGACAGAATGCAGAGGGGGTGACCTTGGCCCCCCCGCTGCTGCTGCTTACCCAATTGGATGAACAAGATGATAACCATAGCTGTTGTTTCTTTATTTACTTTTATTTCAATTTTGACATTTGTTCCTTGCATAATTATCTGCATTCAAAATTTGTTCTTAAGGAGTGTCTCAGCTAATATCATCATAGAAAACAAGAAGGGGGTGATGCGGGGAGCATGGAGGAGGAAAGGGAGAAGTTTGCGAGGTGGAGAAGGCAGCTGCGAGAGACCAGAGCTGAAGAGGCGACAGAGGAGGACGTGGATTCTGGGCATTCAGTGTCCAGTTATGAAGACTGAGACTGTTTTACAGACTAGGACTGAACAGGATTGTTAACAAAAGTTACGAATGTATTGTACCTCAGTTTATGCCAAATGTTTTCACAGTTTTCTCCTCATGTTTATTACCTATTTTCTGACTGGCTGCAATCTGCTGCATTGCAGATGTTTTCCTTATTGGCTCCTATTTCTCCCTTATTCCCTCCTTTCCCTTCTGACTGGTCCATGTCCCTGCCTGTCCTATGCTCCTCCCTGGTTTCTGGAACCTTCTCCTGCCGCCCTATGAATAGGGGTGGCACACCCTAATAAGGCTGCAATAGCTTCGAGCTACCACTCTGCACGAACCCCCGGCTGTCGCGGCTTCTCTCCCCTGCGACTGTGACAGATGGTGCCCAACTAGCGGGGCACAGTGGTGGTTCTCTTACTCTAAGGGAACTCCTCTGCCTGCGCAGGGCACAGGCACCCTTGGAAGACAGGTGTTGCCCCGGCCTCAGGAGGAACATGCTAATTCTACACTTGTGCTGTACACATTAACTAAAAACAGAAACGGGAAAGAAGACAGGTAATGCGAGTGTAGTAAACATGTCACAGAAAAATCAGGATTGCAACTGAACACTTCATTCTCCAGGTGAAATGGTTCCCCCACTGCTGTACATCCCAGATTCTTCACACACGCAAAATGTTAAAACACTTAAAATCCAGGATTCCCAGGACTCTGCCTGAGATTTTGTGTAGAGCTCGCTGGGTAATTCAGCTCTGCTCTGGGTTGCACTTTGGCTGCTGTTGCTTTCACTTGTTTGAAACCAGGCAGTGGATGGATCTGCCCTGGCACAGCAGGAACCAGCTCACAGGAGGGAGAAAAGCCCTAACAATTATCTCAGTCTTCCGGCAGCACGAGCACTTCCCAACACAGCAAGCCCAGGGAGTGCAGGGGGTGGGGGGCCAAGCTCAAGAGAAATGTAATGAGTGCCAGACTTTAATTTTGTTGATCAATGCTTCACCAGCTCAGGAGTTGTCTATGCATCTGTATCATGGCCTCGTCTTCTGAAGCACTTTCTATCAGCACACCTGCAAAAGATTAAAGAGCCAAGAGGAAGTGAAAATTAAACACACACAGGAATTGGGTAGAGATCCAGCTACATCTGACTTGGTAGGTTCTGAAAGCTGTGTTTTCAGATGTCTCGTGCCCTGTACAGAATCACAGAAACACAGACAAGGAGAGGTTGCAAGGGACCTCCAGAGATCACCTGGTCCAACCCAGATGGGACACCTGGAGCTGGGTGGTCAGAACCTCCTCCAGGGGATTTTGAATATCTCCAAGGATATCTCCACAATCTCTCTAGGAACTGGTCCCAGTGCTGAGTCACCCTCACAGTAATGAAGTTCTTCCTCGTGTTCAGGTGGAAATTGCTTTGTTTCCCTTTCTGCCCATTGCCTCCCATCCTATCACTCAGCACCACCCAGAAGAGCCTGGCTCCATCCTCCTGACCCTTCAAACACTTGTGTCCACTGATGACATCCCCTCTCAGACTTCTCTTCTCCAGACTAAACAGGCCCAGCTCCCTCAGCCTCTCCAGCCCCTGATCATCTCTGCAGCCTCAGCTGGACCCGCTGCAGGAGCTCCATGTTTCCCTTGTACTGAGGAACCCAGCACTGGACACAGCACTCCAGATGGGCCTCACCAGGGCTGCTCCTCCCTTGGCCTGCTGGCAAAGCTCTTCCGAAGGCAGCCCAGGCAGCCTTGGGCCTTCTTGGCCATTGCTGACCCTTGGCCAGCTCTCTGTCCACCAGAACCCCCAGGGCCTTCTCTGCACAGCTACTTGCCAGAGGGTCAGCCCTGAGCCTGGACTGGTGCCTGCCCTTCTTCCTGACCAGGTTCCTTGAATTGCTTGGATGGGTTGAGTGCAGCAGGGCTGGGGAAAGAGCCCAGGCCCTGTGAGCCTTCCTGAGGCCTTGGCAAAGGCCTGGGGGGCAGGATGGGGGGTAGGGATCATCCCCCTCCACGTCTGCAGACAGCATCCGTGGGCCATGGGAGACAACCCTCCGTCATGAGGAAGGTGAGTGCGTGGGAGGACTGGCAGTGGACACCTTTAGCACCCATCGGGTCAGAGCTGTCCTCACTGCCCTCAAAGACAGGGGAGAGAAGAGGGGCCTTGACCCCCTGCAGGGAACACTTCAGCATGGAGCTGTTTCAGTGTCACGGATCACAAAAGCTGTTTGTTCCCCGTGGGCAGAGGCCCAGACAAGTGGCCTTTAGTCACGGGATGGATTGTGGTGGTGATTCCCAGGACTGAAGGCAGCTTCTCTGGGCCTCTCCCCATGTCAGGGCCGTCCTTCTCCATCCCCTTTGAGGAGCTGTGCAGGACAAACTCACAGGGTGGTTTGCCTGTAGAGCAGCTTTGGCATCCAGAGAGATGGAAGTGCTTGGGAATGGCCCTGCTCACCTTGTTCTATCTCCATGTTTGCTCCGAGGAGCTGAAGGATGTGCTGTTTGGACCCCTGCCTCCCGTAGAATTCTTGTTCCAGAGTTTGAATTCTTTGGCAGAGCTGCTGAAATTTCTTGTCCATCTTGGATTCCTGGGCCCTCATCATTTTCTTCATTTTCCTGTCTGTGAAGGCAGAACAATGATCCTGGGTCACTGACTGTGATGGCTTTGCACAGTTACTGGTGGATTGAGATTGTAAACAAGTCACTCCCCTTTTGTTTCAACCTCTCCCTACTCCTCTCCAATAATGAAGGGACATAATATAATATGTCCTCTCCATATAATGAAGAGATAAAAGTACAAAAATAACAATTTAAAAAGGAAATAGCAGGAACTCCAAAGAACCAAGGGAAAATGGTTTAAGCTAAAAAGGCAGAAATTGTTTCCTAGTCCCCCTACCCCGGGACAGAAAAGCCCCAAATGGCAGCTACCACATGGTTGCCACAAGCAAAGCCAAAACATTGGGAGGCTGCCCTGCCCTCTGGACCATGCAGGGGAAAAGAAACAAATTAAACCAAACCATAGCAAACAGGTTCTCAAAGACCCACCCTCCAGGATGAGGGGATGGGGTGAATATTCATCACAAAGCTCCACGCCCTGGCTTTGGAACCATAACACTGATGCTTCCTCCTTGAGAGGCAGACCAGCTCTCTGACACAAGGATGCCCAAAGGCTCTGATTTAAGCTCCCTGCCAGAGGCTCATCTTCTTAGAACTCTCCTCTGGGTGTATATTTTCCTTCCTCACTCCCCCTCAGAAATCCTCAGCTCACAGGAATTCAATTTTGTGATGGAGGTACAATCTGGAAATGGTTTTCCCTTTGTCTTCTATCTTTTAGCAGGGAGGGAACAAGAAACTCGGAGCACATTTTCCTCCCTTTTCAGCCTCTCATTGGTGCTTTCTGTAGCTCAATTAAATATGGTTTCAGCTTTGAAAAGGGGGCCACAGGCTTCATCCTAAGGCCACAGTGCCCTGAGCCATCAGGAAGTCAAGGGGTTGCCCTGGACTGTTCTGGGCTGCTCACTGCCAGAGATTTGCTCCTGCAGCAAGAACAGGACCCCCAGGCAGGTGAGGCCCATCTTGTCTCCCCTTTCCCTGCCCGGGGTGCAACAGGCTGTGCCCCAACACACACTGTGTCCTGCCTGAGCCAGGCCCAGGAGCACCATCTGGGGCTCAGCAGGCCCACTGGGGTGTCTGTGCCCCAGCTGACTCCTTCCCTTCCCAGCACCAGCTCTTCAGGGAGAGCTGTTCTGCACAGGCCCCTGTGCTCAGAGACACCTGCAGTGCTCATGGAGCTGGGTCTCCTTGTGGATCTTCAACAGGAAGACAAGGTTGGGATCACATGTGCCCCAAGACGGCCCCAGGAGTGGGGAGTGGGAGAAGGGGAGTGGGGAAAGGGAGAGAGACGCTGACAGGACTGCAAGGGGGGAACCTTAACA